GTGTGAATGTGCGAGTGAATGTGAGTGTGAATGGTTGTCTGTCCCTGTGTGTTGGCCCTGCGACAGACTGGCGACCTGTCCAGGGTGTACCCGCCCTATGACAGCTGGGATAGGCTCCAGCGCCCCCCGTGACCCTGAAAAAAAAGGATAAACGGAAGCGATTGGGTTGTAACTATTGGAGCTATTTTGTTATATTTTGTAACTTATTTAATTTAGTTAGTTACTGTTCTTACCGTCTTGGAGCAACTGGAGTTGATAAAGTATTCTGTTCCTGTGTATTTCAGGACAATAAACACTAACACAATGCTTAAAGTTGTGGAGCAGGCTATGGAGCTGTACAGAGACTTTCCTGATATCATGGCTGGTTTTGATCTGGTAAGAAACACTTTTACAGTTTGAAATCATTGAAAACAAAACATGCTGGAAGATCCCAAATGGACTGAAATGGTGTCATGGCTTCTATATATGTTGAAAACAAGAACACACGAAAACTTGTGTTTGCGTTACAGGTGGGTTGGGAGGATGGCGGGAGACCCCTGTGGTATTACAGAGATGCCTTGTCGCTCCCTGTAGAGAGAGGGGTCCCACTTCCTTTCTTTTTCCATGCTGGAGAGACAAGTGAGAATTCATCATGATTCCAGTGTACCAGTATAACAATCACAAGTTTGTTTTTAACCCCCATATGTAAAACTGCACAAATGTGAACTTTACTATATGTTTAATCCAGAGAGTGCAAAAGAGTATTTGTAAGTCATTCATTTTCTTTGTCTTTACTGTGTGCAGATTCTCAGGGTACGGAAGTAGATCAGAACATATTGGATGCTCTTCTCTTTAATACGTCACGCATTGGACATGGATTTGCACTAACGCGCCATCCAGTCGCCAAAGAGTGGTCTAGAAAATATGGGGTTGCTGTGGAGGTGTGCCCCATCTCCAACCAGGTACACTGCTATCTGCCACTATACTGTACATCAGGGATGGGCAATTCCAGTCCACGAGGGCCGGTGTCCTGCAGGTTTTAGATCTCACCTTGGGTCAACACACCTGAATCACATGATTAGTTCGTTACCAGGCCTCTGGAGAACTTCAGGACATGTTGAGGAGCTAATTTAGCCATTTAAATCAGCTGTGTTGGTTCAAGGACACATCTAAAACCTGCATGGACACCTGCCCTCGAGGCCTGGAGTTGCCCACCCCTGCTGTACATGGATGGTAATGTTTTCCTGTTTGTCTCATCTTCTTCCTCCACATACCCTTACCCAGGTGTTGAAGTTGGTCAAAGACTTGCGAAACCATCCAGCTGCTGCACTAATGTCTGAAAACCACCCGTTTGTCATCAGCTCTGATGACCCCGCCATATTTGGTGCATTTGGCCTCTCTTATGACTTCTATGAAGCTTTCGTTGGTTTGGGGGGCATGCGTTCCCATGTAGGCTCCCTTAAACAGCTGGCCATAAACTCTATCAGGTGAAGCTCTGCTAAGATGTGACTTGTAGTTGCATTGTGTGCGCTAGCATGCTTTTGGGTGACTGATGTTCCTGTGTCTGTGTTTCAGGTATAGTTCTTTGAGTCCCGAGCAAAAGGAGAAAGCGCTGTCTCTGTGGCAGAGAAGATGGGATAAGTTTGTCTCTGAAAATGCCTTTTAGTAGTAAACTTGCATTTGAAAACAACAAACAATGATACAAGCAGTCCTTTCTGCTGTGAAAGGGGCCTTTTGTAGGACAGTCGAAGCTGAATCATGAGTGTAAATGTCAAAAACTGCTGAAACAGCCACTGAGCAGGTTTGTGGTCGGCACAAATATAGTGTTGTTCCCCACAATGTTTTGTAATGAAAGAAATAATAATGTGTCATAACATGTCGGCTACTGTGGGGGGAAAAAAAGCCTTTAAAAAAGGTAGAACAGACTCACAATGCCATGTTAAATACAGTAACGGTGTCACACAGCTTTAAGTGATCGAGCTGTTAACTGCTGTTTTACTCTCTGTGGTTCTCTCACATGTTGCATAAGCGTGACAGGTAGCTTTTTTGTGTGCGTTTTAAATCATATGACCTATGGAACAATTTCCTTTAAAGACAGCATTTTTTTTTTTTAAAAAACATCTGTAAGACTTTTTACTTGAATGTAATTTTAACACTTATGCCTTCAACTGACTAGTAATTAATATTTGCTTATGCAGGAAAAACTGCGCGAAAGACTTGAAACACAAAAAGTAATCATCTTTCAGAGGCTACTTTTTAAAGCAGTATCTGAAATTTTATTAATAGTTTTCAAATCATGCAAACGTGAATGTTCTGAACTACATTTCACATAAAAGCAGCTGTTTATTCATTGTTCTTTTTATGTAACACCATCACTGGTATCAGAGCAGTGCATCACCCCTCATCTGCTGCAGGTGTTGAACTTGGAGAAGAAGCTGTCATCAATACATCCTCTTTTAATGTCTGGTTTCCTTAAAAATGAAGCGTTGTTAAAAACAGCGAGACAGTGTACACTGTGTTAAATTTAATAAAAACAATTTTGCTCAAAAGTTACTTACTGTTGTTTGTGTGTTTCGGCCAGTTGGGCGTTGGCGCTGTCCAGGTCTCGCCTCAGCTGCCTGTTCATTCGTGCCTGCTGCCGCTCAATAAGCAGAGTGGTACGAGCTGAGTTCAGGCGCACGCGATCGTGCCACTCTTCTTCATGTTTCTTCTCCAGTTCTTTTCTCTTTACATGCGCAGACAACACACACATTAGGAGAAAAATGCTTAATATGGGCTACCTTTTAAATAATCCACACTTTGAGTGCAAACATGTATTTTTTTTTTTACCCTCTTCTCCTCCATTTGATGTTTCTGGATTTGAATGATCTGCTGCAGGCTCTCAGGAGCTGTTCTCCTGTCACTGCTGGGACTCAGGCCGGGCACGGCCACCGTACTCGGGGTACCTTGAAACTGGCTTTGCCTGCCATTGATTTCTTTGTCTTGACAGCGCTTTTCTTCAGCCTTTGCCCGTGGAGACACATGAGTAACAAGGTGGAAATAAAAAATGTTTATTGAAGCCTATAGCAGCGTTTAATGCAGTTAAATTCCTCTGACTCACCATAGACCGATTGAAGTCTTTAGTGGTGATGGCAGCTGCCTTTCTCCTTTCTATCTCAAGGCTCTGAAGTTGCACAGCTCTGTTGTCCATTTCTACTCTGCTTTGGTCATAACGCTGCTCTAAAAATTTCAGTAGAGACTATGATGTGAGCTTGACTTTTGTGTTTGAACTGAGCATGTGTATCAAGCATGGTTTTAAGGCAAAACCCACCTTCCAGCTCTTGTTGATGCCTTTCCGCTGCCTGCTCAGTCTGCTGCTGGGTGAGCCACTCTCTGAGCTGTTCCCTCTGGTTCTGCTGCCTGATCTTACTTTCTGGGTCTTCACCCACCAGGCCAGGAGGCATCATCTGTGCATCACTCTGCTCTACTTTTTTAATACGGCTGGGATCATTCAAATCATACTCTCGCTGATCTTCCGGGTGCTGGTATTGCTGCCTGTAGGCGACAACGGCTTTTTCCAGTGCACGCTTCTCCTTCATTTGGCGGCTGTCGACAATGCAAGCTACTTTGCCATAACGGAGCATATCAGCATCTGCATGACGATCACATGACACACATATATCACAGTTGACTTTAATGAAGGATTGAACGACATCACATCAGGAAACAAATTTGAAGTAACTCACCATAAGCGTTTTGTTCCTTTTTTGCAGCTTCTACTTGTTCCCTTTTCTCTCTCACCTGCTCATCTAGGGCTTCCTTGTCAACCTGTAGAACAGTCATTTAGAGACAAACACAGTGCGTTAAGCTCCTCTGCCGCGGACTTTCCACTTCTGTTTAATTCAGACCCACAGCAGAGCCTCAAACACGCACCCCGATCGTCCTCAGCTTGTCATTAAAAATCCTTTCTTTTCTTTCAGTCTCTATGTTGCGACGCTTCTCCAGACTGGCTCTGGCGAGGCGCTCTGAAAGTAGTTCATTTTTAAGCATTTTGGCTCAGCGGTGGCTACAATTTAGCTGAGGATTTGCTCCCATCGGAAACTTAGATTTCAAACACACTGGTTGCTAAGACACCAGAGTGTTCGCGAGCCGTCGTAAGACCTCGGCTTTTTCCGGAGGACTCACCCCAGATCCATCGGATCGAAACATTTCAGCTAATGAAAGCAGACCGACTCACATTTGCTCGTCACGTTTTTGAGATGAACATCACCAAACTATCCAATCGATCCTTTTTCCTTCTCCCAGAATGTTAGTTTTGATGTTTCTATTCGGCGTTAGAGCACATTCCTGCCACTTAAGCTCTAAAGAAAAGATGTTTGAGGGACACGCAACAGTATTTTCCCATCACGCTCAGATTAAAAGTTGCTCATCGATGACATCTCCGTGATTTGGTTGAGATGAGAAATGTAAACGTGCATCTCCACTGACATTCTGGTACTCATGAGCTGAAATGCTTCCAGCATGTTATACACAAGCTCAGCATAATTCTCTGCTCTCTGATTGGCAAGAAAGTTCTGGACACCCTGCACAAATGCTTCCCAGTCCTGCTGATTTCACTTTCCTTTAGGACACGTCATGAAGCACGAGTTCACTGATAAAAGTAACAGGTGATATTAGCTAGTCTGTCTGCATTTGGTTACAATGTAGCTTCTGACCTAATTTGCAGACTTTATGAGACCTTATCAACGTCACACATGTAGCAGGATGGTTTAAGCGAGGCTCTATCACCTCCCTCCCTATGCTCATTGACGACATCTGTTGTCGCTCGCTATTTGGTGGCTGCATTTTAACTATGGGGCGCCGTTTGTAAAGTGAAACATGCTGAAATTAACGGCAACATTTTTCCACATTTAGCTCAAAACCTTACAAAAACATGTTTTTTCGAGTCATTTTTACAACATTTAGTAAAATATTTGTAATTTGTCATATTTAAAACACAATTTTGAATGTTAAATGGCGCGATATGGCAGCCTCGCTTCTGTCAGTCTGCCCCAGGGCAGCTGTGGCTACGGCTGTGTCCCAATTCTGTGGCTGTGTCCCTTTGGAGTTGACGTCACGCCGCAATGCATTGTGGGAGCGCAGCGCCATTTTCGGGGTCTACGAATCAAAACAAACACACTGTGTTGGAACAACGACTACAAGAAAGATGCTTAAAAGAGAACGGACTGTATAGAGACCGATTGCGTCCAGAGGCGAAGCAGCGGTACTTGCAGAAAATAGC